AAGGGACTGGGCTGGTCCCTGCCCTGCCTCTCAGAGAGGGGCCTGCAGGCCAGAAGGATGCTACTGGGATTCCCCTGCTTTCCAGAAGCAGAAACTGAGGCAGTTCATTCTGGGATTGTGGCTACGTTTGAAGGCATCATCAAAAATCATTATCTGAAGGGAGTCTCTGCTCACTCAATTGCCTCTCTTGCTGGGAGCTGATAGAGCAGAGAGGCACAGCAGAAATCCTGCCACAAGGATGAGAAGAGGCTTTTCCAAGCAGAGACAAATTCTCAGTAGTGCCAGACAAAAATTGCAGGTTGAGAGGTTCAGGCTGGACGTTAGACAGAAGTGCTTCACTGGGAGAAATTCTGGAAGCCCTACAGAAGGGACTAGTGAGGTGCAATATCAACCTGCTGCGAAAAGCACAACAGGCAAACAGAAGCTCATGGCCTCCCTGCCCTCATCAGCTCTTCCCTATTCTCTTCCATAAACCACACTCCACCTGGAAACATCACCTCCTGGTTCCCTACTCAAATGTACAGCCATTTCCCATTAGACATTAGTTCTTCTCCCATCATATATTTGCCTCTCAGGGGGATTCCTGAAGAGTAACCACGTTCAGGAGAAGCAGATTCCTTTTAACCTGTTCTCACCTGGTGGGCTTTCTGTTGCCACAGCCACCGTGGGGACCCGATGCAAACAGGTGAGCTGGTCTGGCAGCTCCACACCTGGGAGAGCTCAGACCTTGGAATTCTGACACAAAACTCCAGCACCCCTCTAAACCTCTGGCCTGATGTGTCCTTACACCCCCCCCTTGCAGAAGAATCCAAGTATCTTCCTTCCATTTACTCTCTTTTCTCTGTCCTTTTTCCTGTCTCCACCTAAAATAATCATTTCCTTGGGGCTCTATCATGAGGCTCTGTTGTTTCAGAAGTCATTTATCATAGCCAAGGAAGGCACGGAGCCAGCCTGACATGATCTGTGCTAGAACCACCCAGCATTTCATTCTGCTTCCCAACAGCACGTCCCTGATTACTCTTCCAGAACCTGTTCTAGATCCCAACCTTTCCTCGTACTCCAATTAATGGACCTGTAATTGCCTGTAATTTCCTCCTTCCTCCAACACAACCTCTCAGAGTCACCTTGGCTGGTTTCCTCTCGTGGAATATCACCTGTTGCTCCCCAGGCTCCGGGCTGGCATTTCCTGTGCTGGAGTGCCCGTCCCTGGAGGGGTTTAAGGCCCTGGGGAGGTGGCATTTGGGGACACGGTTTACCAGTGGCCTTGGCAGTGCTGTGGGAATGGTTGGACATTATCATCTTGGAGAACTTTCCCAACACAAAGGATTCTCTGATTCCATGGGGTGAGCCCATCTCTTGGGCCCCAAGAGACCCCACAAAAATCTTTCAGTGTTTCATCACCTGCAGATGCAGCAAGAGCAGGAGTGGGTCCAGCTCTAGGCACTCCAAAACACAGCACAGCCCCTTTCCATGGTCCCTGCCTCCACACAAGCCCTACAAAAGCTTCTCTTTGCTGTCCAAATGCAGATTGTATAAGAAGAAAACACAACCAAAATCATATTGGTAGTTAAATCTGTTCAAATATCATTCTTTTTGAGCTGCTCCAGCTATTTTCAGCCTTCATCTCTACCCTTCCTTTTAGGATCCAAGGTGCCATAGAGCCCAGCACAGGATTTGGTTCCCTGAAATCCACAAGATTGCAGTGGAGCAATGAGTGTGCTGGGAAAAGTAATCCCTGGAGAGGCACATCAGAGGATGCTGAGGCATCTTGCCACTGAAAACCCCGAGCTGGACATATGGAGAGGGTTATGGGCACACCACAGGAGTGAGAAATATGTCTAAAGTGTGCTTAACATTGATACTGCAATAATCCTTTTGTCCAGATTTAATGTTTTCCATCCCAGGGCTTTTGCTAAAAGCGAGGTAAGCACTGCAACACGCCCAGATGGCAGATAAAAATGACTTAACTGGGAGGGAGAAGCAGACATGTCCTGGGGGGACATGGCAGCTGCCTGGCAAAACCCTGCAGGAGCTGAGGGTGGGAGAAAAGGAAAAGAAAAACTTCATCACCCTCCAGCACCAGAGGGTAGTTGAAGACTCCCAGGAGTTACCCACTGAAGGAAACCAGAAGAGGAATTCCCCTCCCTAATGAGAAGTCTCCTGGGATTTTTGCTGACCAAACAAAGGTCAGGAACCTGGTTTTAAGCTGTATAAGGATGAAGATGCATCCAACCACTTTGCAAAGCCCCAAGAGGTTGTTTCTGACATGCCCTCAGCTTGGAACTGGGAATTTGCTTCTTGGAGGACTCCCATTTAAAAAGGACATTAACACTGGGGCTGTTTCAGACTAAGCTTGGTCGATTGCCCTGCAATTATTTTGTGATCTACATTAATAATGCTGCAGATGTGCTACTCCTGGCCTTAAACACACGACAGCTCAGCTGAGGCACCAGATGTCTTCCTTGTGAGAGCCCTCACACGACGTCTTTGGTGGACAAAGCCCAATTTTCAAGGCTGGATTATCAGCTTTTTGCCAAAACTGATATCCACACCATGAAAAAAATCAGCATAAAATTGATCATAAATATGATCTACAAGTATCTTAGCTTGTTTGAAGTGATCCAAAGAGATTAGACAGATCAGGCTGGCTCAAAACACAGTAGTTACAGCACCAGACTGGGAGACCTAGGCTTGATTCCTAAATCCACTGCTAATTTTGGGAGGCAGGGAATAAATAATTTCAGTTTTTCTGTTCCCATTTTCCCCCCTCCCCTTGATGGAAACAGCTACTCTCCTTTGTGAAGCCCTGGGAGATGCCTGGCTGTTGAGGGTTATGTTAGAGCCCAGGGCATTTGTGTTGTTATCAAATCTCACAGCCATGCAACAGCCTCCCCAGGGAAGTGATGAAAGACCTGTCGCTGGAGAGGTTTAAATGCGGCTGGATGAGGCGGCAGGAGACACAGCACCGGGAGGATGAGGGAGCCGGCATCTAACAGGTTTTTCCTTCCATCTCGGCTCAGTGAAAGGTCTGTCCAGCCGGACTGCGGCACACAACAAAGAGGGAGCTCCAGCCCAAACGGGGACGCGAGCCCCCAAACACGCACCCCGAGCAGACCCAGCCAGCACAGGCCTGCGAGCCCCGCCGGCCACCGGCCCAGGGCTCGCTCGGGGCTCCGGTCCCCGCCCCGGCCGCAGCAGCCCCTGGGGACCCCAGACCTCCTCCCGAGACCGAGCGGCTCCGGTGCTGCGGGGCCGGGGGCGAGCCCCGGGTGCGGGGCGGCTCCGGGGCAGCGCAGCCGCTCCCCGGGGCTGTCCCGCGCCTCCCTCGCTGCTCTCCATCCCCGCTCTCCATCCCTGCTCTCCATCCCCGCTCTCCATCCCCGCTCTCCATCCCCGCTCTCCCTCCCTGCTCTCCCTCCCTGCTCTTCTCCATCCCCGCTCCCCGGGGCTCTCCCGCGCCTCCCTCGCTGCTCTCCATCCCCGCTCTCCCTCGCTGCTCTCCATCTCTGCTCTTCCTCGCTGCTCTCCATCCCCGCTCTTCTCCATCCCCGCTCTTCTCCATCCCCGCTCTTCTCCATCCCCGCTCTTCTCCATCCCCGCTCCCCGGGGCTGTCCCGCGCCTCCCTCGCTGCTCTCCATCCCCGCTCTCCATCCCTGCTCTCCCGCGCCTCCCTCGCTGCTCTCCATCCCCGCTCTCCATCCCTGCTCTCCATCCCTGCTCTCCCGCGCCTCCCTCGCTGCTCTCCATCCCCGCCCGGCAGCTCGGCAGCCCCGGTGTAGGTGCGGGCGAGCCGCTCACGCCGCGCTCGGGGCCGGCATTGTCTCGCAGCCGCCTCCCGCCGCCCCCGACGGAGCTCACCGCCGAGCAGGAGGGTCCGCAGGCGGGCGGGGCCGTGCCGTGCCGTGCCGAGCCGAGCCGAGCCGAGCCGAGCCGAGCCGTGCCGAGCCGAGCCGCCCGTGTCCCGCCGCAGAGGCCGCGGCCGTGCAGCGGAGCCGCTTCCTGCGCTCCCCGCGCCGGCTCCGAGCCCTTTTATCGCGGGGCCGCGGCAGCGATTGGCTCTCGGCGCCGAGCCGGCTTCCAGCCGCTCGCTCCTTTGTGTGCAGCCAGCCTCTAGCCCCGAGCCTTCCCCGCTCCTTCGGCTCCCGGCTCTCTCTCCCTGCTCGCCCGCAGCCTCCCCGGCCCCCGGGAGCGACCCTTCCGCTTTCTGGCACAGGGTGCAATTAGCCCCCCGGTAATTAGCTCTTCCAGCCTCTCCCAGGAGCTGCGTGTGCAGATTGGCTTCGCTCCAAGCGTTGGACACGGCCTTGGGCTCTCTCCGCTTGGCACTCGCCCACCCGGTGAAGGGTCCTGTAGCATCCCAAGGGATCCATCCCTCCAGCGTCTGCAAAAGCCACATTTCCCACACCTTAACTCACTGCTTGCATGGGAAGGATCTCATCAGGCAGCAGCAGGACAGGAGGATTCCAGTGCTCCCCACTCCTTACCCTCCAGAGGGGCAAAACTGCTCTGTGATAGTTTCATAAATCCAGGGTTACTCCATGGCCAGCTGATGAGCCGAGCGTGGGAGCGGGGCTGTGCAAGGTGTGTGGTGGATCTGCCGGAGCAGCGTCCCGTGGCCCAAGCAAAAGCCCTGCCTGGACTATAAAGGCAGCTTCCTATCGTGTTTGGAGGGCTGGGATTTCCCCAGGAGGAGGGCAAAACATCAGAAATAAACATAATTATTAATAGTTAAAAGCTGGAGGTGGTTTCACGCCAGCCGAAATGGCCATGGGTCAGGAGGGAGGCAGCAATAACCTGTAGCTCTGAGGACTTTACCTTAAGCTCTCAAAGCCCTCCAATGAGCCATAAATGGAGGGAAATATACAATGGAGTGATGGGAATATCTTTGAAAACGGTGATCACAGAATATTCTTGTTTGGCTGCGGCAGGGCGGAGGAGCGCCCGGGCCCGCCGGGGCGCTGGCTCCTCCGCGCCCGCAGGGGGCGCTGCCCGCGCCGGCGCCGCGGCCCGGCGGCACAGCATGGCGGAGGAGAGCGGCGTCTGCAGCTTTGTGTTCAAGAAGCGGGTCCGGGCCGCGGGCAGCGGCCGGCGGAAACGGCCCGGCAGCGACCAGGAGCGGGGTGCGGGCCGGGGACCCGGGCGGCGTTGGGAGCCGGTGCGGTGCAGGCGAGGGAGGGCCTGGTGCCGCCCCAGCGCTGCCCGGGCCGGGCTTGGCCGCCCTCCCCGGCCCGTGGGCGTGCGGCCGAGGGCGTGAGGGAGCCCTGGGTTGTGCCACAGCGGAGTTAGGCTGGGTATTAGGAGAAGGCTCTTCCCCTGCAAGGTGGTCGGACACTGCTCCGGGGCTGCCCGGGCTCCGGAGCCTTTGGGCAGCGCTCCCAGGGCGGGACTGCTGGGCCCGCCGGGGCCGGCGCGGCCGGGGCCTCACTCGGACTTTCCCCGCAGAGAGCAGCGGGGAGGAGGGCAGCACCGTGGTGCGCAAGGAGCGGCGGCGGGACACCCCCAACCCCATGATCCAGAAGGTAAGGGAGCTCCAGGGAGTACCTGCGCCGCCCAGGGGGCCTGCGGGGCCTGCCAGGCTCGGCCGTGACGGGACAGCGCTGTAGCCTGTCCTCCCCCATCCCTGCTGTGCCCCCAGACCAGGCGCTGCACGAGGGAGAGGCCGGAGTACGCGCCGAGCAGCAGCGAGGATGAGGATCCTGCCAAAGAGATCGGGGTCACCTACAAATCCACCAGGTCGGCGGTAAGGACAGGCAGCAGGGGACCTGGGCTGTCAGCTCACGTGGGGCTGGGGATCCCACTCCTCAGAGACAGAATCTGCCACTCTAAACAAGGGATTGGACATTCTTTCATATTAATGCACCTCCCTGACACCGCTTAACAGCCAAGCACCTTGTGGTGGGTTTACTTTGATAGTCCCTTCCTCCACGGGAGGCCATCAGAGGTTGGCCTTTCCCTTTTGGAGGTGAGAGTTAAAACTCCAGGATGCCATTGGACTTGCCCAACACTGCACAGATTTTTTAGGAGAGGGAGTGGTTGGATCAGGTTGGCTCAACTGCTGGGTTTGTGTTTTCAGTGTTAGACCATCTTTGGCTGCTCCCAAGGGAGGCAGTGTTTGGTTTGCCCAACCTTCTGCAGAGAATGGAAAGGGACGGGAGGAGGTGACAACTTTGGCACTCTGCAAGCTTTTGGCACCTAAGTTGGATTTGTATCTAATTGAGGCTGGCTGTAATTATTCTCTGGTTTCTGTGCAGCTGTTCTTGAAGATGTGATAAAAGCTAGGAATAGGTATCTGTTCAGGCCATTAAAAAGGAATCTAAACCAGATCACTGTGTTGAAACTGAATTTTGGCCATCCCCAGCTGGGTCAGAAGCTCAGTAACATCCTGTGTGTGGGCAAGAGGGTCCTGTGACTGAAATGACACCCACTTGAACTGGGTGACATGGCTGAACTGAGTGGGGCTTCCAGCTGAGCTGGGGCTAAGTGTGAAGGAGTTAAACAAGTGTTCCCTGACTGCAGGCTGAAAATTGGGAGCAATGAGGAATTAGTACTCTGGCCTCTGCACACACTAGGCTAGAGCCTGTAGTGACTTCTCCCGAGCAAATGCCAAGGGATAAAGCAGATGTGTCCAGTTCTTGCTCTGTGACAATCTTCAGGTAGACAGGAGCTCTCTGTCTTATCCAGGTGTTCCCTCCACTCTTGCCACAAGTTTTCCTTGCTTTTCAGAAACCTGTTGGCCCAGAAGACATGGGAGCCACAGCAGTGTACGAACTGGACACAGAGAAGGAGAAGGATGCCCAGGCCATCTTTGAGCGCAGCCAGAAGATCCAGGAGGTGAGTCAGCCTTGCTCCTCAGGAGCTCTGCGGCAGGAGAGCCTGTGCTCCGCTCATCCCCTTCTTCACACCAAGAAGGGTTAGAGTTTCATCTTCCCTAGAAGTTCAAGGAGCCAGGAGTGTAAACTTTGCAAATAGGGGAGTTTTGTGGCTTTATTGGTGTTAAGGAGGGCAAGATGTTAGAGTGGTGGCAGTTGATTCATGTCATGAAGCTCTCCTGATCCTTAATCATCTCTTCTTGCTTTCCTAGGAGCTGAGAGGAAAGGAAGACGATAAAATTTACCGTGGCATTAACAACTACCAGAAGTATGTGAAGCCCAAGGACACATCGATGGGAAATGCCTCCTCAGGAATGGTGAGGTGGGTTGGGATGAGCCTCGGGGTCTGTGACCGCAGAGGAGCTCACACACCATCCCAAAGGCAGTGTCTGGGGCTGGAGCTCTCCTGTCACTGCCAGTTTCTGCCTGACCAGTGTGGTGTGTGGTTCTGGCCAGGCCCTGCTCCAGGGCCACTTTGCAGCTGGGCTGAGCCTCTGCCCCCCTTTCAGGAAAGGCCCCATCCGAGCTCCGGAGCACCTGCGGGCCACGGTGCGCTGGGACTACCAGCCCGACATCTGCAAGGACTACAAGGAGACCGGGTTCTGCGGCTTCGGGGGTGAGCACCAGGCATTCCAAGGCACCTAGTCCAGCTGTGACCCCGTGTTTGGGGTGCTGAGTCACAGACCCTTCTGTGCAGAGCTGTTTATGTAAGGTTGTCATTCGTGCCATCCCTTCTGAAAGCCCAGGGCTTCTAATTAGTGGTTATAGGAGTCCTGGAAGGGACCCCTGGGATGTTCCAGTGACCCATATTCTTACAGGTGTTGTGTGCACCAAGACCATGTGAAGGATGGGTTTTCCTGTTCTTTGTCCCACTTACCATGTGCATAACTGCTGGAACTGTCCCTGTGGCACAGGGAGGATGATGCTCACAGCCTGTCAGCACTGAGGGATCCTGTACCTGCTCCAGAAGCTTAGTGCTGCCCTGGAGAAGGAGCAGTTAGATTTTTCCTGCTGGGCAAAGCTCAGGCTGCCCTGGAATTAGGTGTCCCGGTAACACTCTGCCCTTGCAGGCTGTCTCTTATCTCCTCTTTCTTTGTGCTGCTCAGACAGTTGCAAGTTCCTGCATGACCGCTCAGACTACAAGCACGGCTGGCAGATCGAACGGGAGCTGGACGAGGGCCGCTACGGCGTCAACGGTACGGTGCCCTCACAGGCCTGTGTCCAGAGTTCTGTGCGACTCCTGCTGCAGGACGAGCTGTGGGCCAGGAGCCACTGGCAGTGCTGAGCAGAGCTGCTGCTTTCACATAACCCCTGGCTCTCTGAGAAGGAGAGCACTGCCATGTGGGTCCCAGCAGCGAGCTGTGCGGGGCTGGGGAGACGGGACCGTCTGTCCCCCTGATTCCCAGGAGGTGGGATGGCATTTGTCACTCGTGTCCGGGGCTGTGGCCCAGGGCTCATGAGCGCTGCTGTGCAAATGGGGGCTATTCTCTGCTCAGCTGGAGCCAGAACTTGGTGGCAGCTGGTTTGGAAGAAAGTCTAAAAAACAGGAGAGAGCTGGAGGATGTTTCTCTTTATAGCAGTGAGTGGGTGAAGTAGAAAAGTATTTTCTCCCGAGATGAGCAACAGGCCCTGCTGGCTCATTAGCCCTAATTATAGCACAGTCCCACATGTGTTACTGACATCAGCAACACCCAGATGCCAGAGTTCCATTGTTTCCAGCAGAGATTGAATCCCACCTGCTGTGCTCTCCCCTTGTTTGTTATTTTGTGCCCCACATGTGAGCTGGGCTGGCCTCTCTTCTCACTCCACTCTGGTTTACTTTCTCTTCTGCAGACGACGAAAACTACGAGGTGAGCAGTGATGAGGAGGACATGCCTTTCAAGTGTTTTATCTGCAGAGGTTCCTTCAAGAACCCTGTGGTCACCAAGTAAGTGGTTGTTTGGCATGAGCAGGACATGTGCTGTGGATGCAGCTCACGAGTCATTCATCCACAATTGAGGCAAAGACAACCCCAGCCCATGGGCTGGGTGTAGGGGTGGGTGGGGGAATCCTGTGAGAGCCAGGGAGTCTCATAGGTGCCATCTGCAGCATCTCCTCGGAAGGGATCTCAAGCACTTATTAATTTCCACAAATGTTGCCTCATTGCCTCATCTTTCCCCCTTAACCTTGAGATTTTGTTTTTCTGGACACTGAATGGCAGCTGCACTGCCTGAGCAGAGAAATGTGGGCATGAGGAAGCCAGGTGCTTGGCAAGGATGAGGAGGCTGAGGACAGCCCTTTCTCACTCTGAATGCTGTCCTGTGTCTGGAAGAGCTCACTGGTGGCTCTGCGCTGTCGCTGCACATCAGTGAAGCAATGCTGAAACACCTTCCATGAGGACAGGGATGCAGAGGAAGCTGTGCCTGCATCTCACTTTTGCCTCCCTTGGGGACCATGGAGAGAGCTGTGAGGCAGTGGAAAGGGCTGCCCAGGGAGCTGGTAGAGTCCCCATCCCTAGGGAACAAGGAACAACTGGACATGGCACTCAGTGCTCTGGTTTGGGTGACAAGGTGGCGTTTGGTCAAGGGTTGGACTCGATCGTGGAGGTCATTCCCAACCTTCCTGTGACCAGCAGTCAGTAGTTTTTGACTCCAGGACACAGTGGCTGTGTCTGGGGGCTTGCAATGACCTCTGTGTCCCTGTACAGGTGTCGGCATTACTTCTGTGAGAGCTGTGCCCTGCAGCACTATCGCAAATCCCAGCGCTGCTACGTCTGTGACAAGCAGACCAATGGGGTCTTCAACCCCGCAAAAGGTAACGGGCACCTGGGGAGAGGGGCTTCTGGGGGAGCAGCTGGGCAGCAAAGGCACCAGCTCCTGTGGGGCTTCCTGGTGCTGGACTTGGTCCTGAGCTGCAGTTCACAGTTCTTGGCTCAGCTCAGTTAGTGTCAGGAAATAATGAATCACAGATGCAGCATGAGCACCTGTGCTTGCCCAGGTGGGGAACCTGGGGAGCAACTGGAGAGGGGAAGGGCCCTGTGCCCTGGGAGCAAGAGGCAGCAGCTTGTGTGGTCAGTAATGCACTGAGGGAATTACTGTAACAGCTCCTGCCTGGACTCAGCAAATGGGGAGCTCCAAGCGGAGCCTCTGCAGGCAAGGGATTTTTGGTGGCTGCCCTGGTCCTGCTGTTCACAGGACCTGCGCCCCTGGCTCTGGGGTGGCCTGCACCTGGAGCCTCATTGTGCCTGTTCTGTTTTTCAGAGCTCTTGGCAAAACTCGAAAAACACAAAGGGGAGGAAGAAGAGGAGCAACGGTCAGACCAAGAAGAGCATCCACAGTAGCAGAACACATTTTGTATATAACTGAATAAAGCTTTTGTAGGAGAAAAAAAAAGCTACCAGCTGTAGCCAGGGGTTCTGTATCCAACCAGCAGCTACTGAACCACGCCCAGCTGTGCTGGACTCTGTCTGTGCTGCCCTGTGGGGGCACAAGGCAGGACAGGCAAGACTCAAGGTCTGAGTGAGCCATCTGCTACCCCCAGAACCCCTGAGTGCAGCCGGGGAAGGAGGGTGAAGGTTCAGTTACTCTGTAATTGCTGCTTCTGACCATGGTGCTACCGTTTCGCTCCTAACTGTGCATGGATCCTGCTGCTGTGCCAGCAGGGAACAAAGTTTATTTAAGCCCCCAGTCTTTGTTTGGAGCAGACTGGAGGCATGGGCAAGGATGAGAAATACAAGCTTGCATTAAATTCTTCCTTTACCCTAAAAATGCTAATTCATGGCAAAGCAGGCTGGAGCACTGCAGTTACTGGGCATTTATTCCCTCCTGTTTGGTTCCTAGAACTCAAGACAGGGACAGAACTTCAGTGAGCTGCATGCTAAGAGATTAAATCAGGAGCCAACCCTGAGCATAGGGAGGAAGTGGAACTGGGCCTGGCCTTAACAAACACTCCTGCAACTGGGAGAATTTTACTGAAACTTCAGAAAAGAGCAAGTGCAGGTGTTTGCAGCTTGTTGCTTTAGTTGAAGTATGTTTCTGAAGCATGAAGGTAGCTGCCATAAACTGATGAGCTGTACAAAACTAAAGTAAAAGCAGGCATGCACAGCTGGCCTGTCACCCTCTGTGATTCACTCCATCATCCTGCACAAATAGCAGACTTAAAAAACAACTTCAGAAATATTTTATTTGTTTTGGAAAAAAACTAGAGTAACAAACTATCTGGGTTCAAGTACGGTTTATAAACACAAGAAGGACCTGTTGCCAGCACCACTATTCCCATCAACTGCACCTATACAAGGATTCTCAGTGCTTCAGTAAAGAGCAGATGACCTTCAGCACCATGGTCCTTGGAAAACAAGTCAAACTAAAAGCCTTAAATACACCTCCAAATAAACCAAACACCACGGAATGGGGGAGAGCTGCCACAGCAGCAGGGCAGAGCCACACAGCCATGAATCACACGGAGCCACGTGAGCAGCTTCTACCTGTCAGTGAGGGAAGGCAGAACAGCAATGGTAACAGAAAGGTTAAAGTTCAGTTCTGTACAGGAGTTGTGAGCAAGAGGATCAGCATGAAAATCAATTTACTTTTCCACTGTGCCAGGAAATAAAGTCACTGAGAACAGGCAGGTTAAGAGTGTTTCATGCTGTGAAACCAGCCCAGCTAACGTGAAGTTCAAGTGGAAGGGGATAAAAAAGCTGGTACATTGTGCAGGCATTCACACTGCTCTGGCGACCCAGGAAGCTGGAAGGGGAGGCTGGAAGACCCTGTCTGACCTGGAGTTCAGAGTGCTCAGCATTGAGTGAGAAGTCTTCAAAAGCCCTCTCTGGACTGGAAAAATCCAGTGCTGCAGAGGAATGCCCAGTGCAGCAGGAGTGCCTGGAATGGCATCAACTTGTCTTTGATCTCATGTTTTTCATCACAAAGCAGTAACTAAGAATATAATCCCTTTTTTTCCAACCCCTTAAAACTTGCCCTGTGACAATACTGTTACAGGAACTTAACCAGTTCTAAGAGAATGCCCAAAACTAAGAGCTGCCCACCTCCCCTCAACTCTAAGGCACCCTTAAAAGAGAAAGAACCAAAGAGGGCAGGGACATGCAGCCTCAACTGTGAAGAAGCCAGTGATTTTTAGAAACATAAATAGAGACCACAACTACACAGACCCACTCAGCACCCTCGAGTGCTCTACCAGAGTTCAGCTGGAAGAATGGGGGCTCCAGGCACTGCACCTTCTGGAATACTCCACAGCTCCTTGGGTTGATCCTTTTCCAGCTCAGGTCTGTCCATTTGTATCCAGGTTACTTCTTAAATAAACAGTCAGTTGAAGTTCCTTCCCAAGGACCTGTAAACTATTCTGTGTGTAACATTCATCAGCTTTTATGAACAGGAGCAATAAATTACAATTTATTGAAGAAAGCTCCTCCTCAGTGTAGTCCCTGTTTTGCTAGAATTCCCAGTCATCCACATCCAGCTGCTCCAGATTTGATACCAACCCAAAAATGCCACTGGGATCCTGGGGCAGTGTCCCTTCCAAATTGGTGATGGGGGTGACAGGGCGCAGAAGTTCCGGGAGTGCTTCGGAAGCACGGCGCTTGATCTGCATGGGAAGGACAGAATGAGCACACGGGGCTGCTCAGGTGCTGCTCCACACCCAGCACTGCAGGCAGAAACAACAGGCAGGAAAGGCACGGGGCACCCTTTGGTCTCCTTAAGGAGCAGGTTAGAACTGCCTTGGGCCAGAACTCAGCAGCCTGCAGGGGATGAGCTGTCGTGGCTCCCAGAACAGGCAGATTTAAAACCTCTCTTGGATAAGAGATGCTTCAAAAACAGCCCAGCCCAAGGACCTCCCACAATGTGATGATCACCACACTGCACTACAGATAGTCAAAATCCTCCCAATCACAGCAAATTCAGCAACTCAACATCCCCACCCTCACAGCAAGATAAAGCAAAGCAGTGTGCTTTACCTCTGGATAAATTAGTTCCTTACCTGCTTAAAAAAAGGGTGACTGAGCAGAGTGCTTGCACTTGGCCTGTGGAAGGGAGGTAGAATGAGGGAAGCACACAAGAACATGAGTCAGTGCTTGCAGTCAGGTAGTAGGAATAAGAAAAGACCGGGGTCCTTCCTGCCTCTCCCATTTCTCAGCAATCACGTAATATTTTATGCAAGGAGTTCAACCTCCTTCTTCTAACCTTTAAGTTACATACTTGCACCCCCTACATCTGGCCAAGGACAGTACTGAGCAGTAGGGCACCCCTGAAAAGTCTGTCATGGCTACAGATTGCCCTCACTACAAAGAAAAATGCAGCTTTTATCACCTCCCATCATTGCTCTCTGCTGGGTGAAGAGCAGCCATTTGCAGTGATGGGAACTGGGCCAGAAACACAAGTTGTTTATTTTCCTGATGTGCAGCACCACTCATCCTCCAAGGAAGGCTGCAAAGGAATTCCTCAGGCTCTCACATAGGAAGTGCTCAAAGTGTTAACGCTGCTTGTTCTCCACACTTGCACTGCTCTCCTCAACAGGCAGGGCACATCCTCACTCCACTACACTTTTGGAAAGAAAACTGTAAACAGTATCTGCTAATTCCCAGAGTTTAACCAGCCCTAGAACAGCACAGGTCGGGAGAGCAGCTTTCACCTGGCTTTACCTGAAATCGGGGTTCCTCTGGAGGCACTGCTCCACGAAGTTGTGGAAGTAGGTGGAGAAGGTGCGGAGGTAGGGGTGCAGGGCTGGCTCCCCGTTGGCCGCGCGCACGTTGCTCGTGGCCGTGCTCTCCCCCATGCCGTAGTTCGCGCTGGAGCGCGACGTCCTCATGGTCAGCTCGTCGGCAGGAATTGTGGTGGTGTCGAGCAGGCAGGGAACAGTTCCATTCAGCTTTTCCAAGAGCATCTGGAAGAGCAGGGGCACAAGCAACAGCACAGTTCAGGTTTCCCATCATGCAGGCAGGACACCCTTCTGTGCGCATATCCCAGAGCAGGAAAGCAGTTCCACGTGCCAGATGAAGAACGAGAAAGGAGCTTGCAAACCTTACCTGAGTAGAAGGCATGTCTTTAAATGGAACGTGTCCATTTGCCAGCTCACAGGCCGTTATCCCCACGCTGTAAATGTCAGATTTTGCATCATAACCCTGCAGATTCTACATGAAAAGAAAAATTAGCTTCAGGACTTGGACGTGATTGAATGGGTAATTCCCATGACTTTGACTGCAAGTCAACAAACCCAGGTGATTAGAACAGGAACAGCATAAGCCACAGATGCACTGGTTTATTGTGGGGAGGGTTTTTTGGTTTGTTAAAACACACAGTTAAGGGCAACATTTATGTAACTGAAATCAGCCAGCCTGTAGGGATGGCCTCTGCCCTGGGTAACTTGCATCTGATGTAACATTTTGTTAATGAGACAACCTGTAGAGGTGTCTACATTTAAACTGTTGAGTCAACTAGATCAAATTCTACCCACTTGCCCTGCATTCACCCCAAATCTGTTTCCTTTAGCTTCTCCCCTTCTTTCTCCTTGCATTCATGTACCCCTCCCCTTGCTAGGGGTAACTGGTTTTAAGATAAAAAGACGAGAAAAAAGGACTAGAGTTCATTACAAGAAGGCAACTCTGCAGGTTCTCTCAGAGAGCCTGCAGTCCCTACCCCTACACCCCCTCAAGTTGCCCTAAGAGCTCACAAAATTATACAGATACAACACATCACTAAACACAAGCAGTTTCTCTTAAACACACCTGCTGCAAAACCTCAGGACTAAGCCAAGGCAGCACTTTGATGCTGTATTTGGGGAAGTCGTGAACAACTTTGAGTCGCTGCCCATGGTTGATCATACTCAGGTTACTCCGCAGACCAGAGAGGTAGACCTTTCCATCTACAGAGATCAGGATATGGCTGGCTTTAACACTCCTGGGGAAAAAAGGGAAAAACAGTCAGGTTCCCTGGCCTTTACTAAATAGCTCAATGCACAGCACAGTACCTGATCAGCTTCCTACCAGGAGGCTGAGAGTCCTAACAACTATCTTTGGATGATGGGCAAAATCAATTAACAGGATTCTATTAATCACCTTTGCAAGTTCACACAGAATGTTTCTGTGGCGAGGAGAAATGCAGGACTAAATGTTATGGATTGTGATTTTAGATACACAGTGGTCTTTGGGATAAGTTTGCTCCACAACAACACTTTCATGCAGCTTAGTAAGATCAGGGATGTCACTTCCCATGAGTATCAAACTGATTTTCTCTAACAGCAAAGTAATGCAAAACTTAATGTTGTTCTGTGTCTCCTGATTCATCTTCTGCTCTACTCTGAGTATTATCCAAGAACTTCCACCAGGAGGAAAATGACCAATGTATTTTTCAATACCTGTGCACATAGCCCATATGGTGGATGTAGTCAAGTGCTTTCAAGACACCTTGGAGAATGTAAGCAATGGCCAGTTCAGTCATCCCATCCGTAAAATGGGTACAGATTAAATCTTTTGCAGAACCTAGAAAGAAACAAAACACCACCTGTCAGAGCAAGGACACTTCAGCTCTTCAATTTCATTTCACAGAACATGAGGGTCAGAAAAAGGTACCCCCTCTCCACTCACCATAGGCCATGAAAGAAGTCACTACCCACAGCTCGTTGTCTGCTATGAAAGTTGCTTTGTATGGCACAATGTTAGGGTGGTTGAAGAGCTTGGAAACATGAAGTTCCCCCTAAAATAAAAGATATTTAATTAAATTTCATAAATGCAGAAACATGACTGCAGTATTGATAGGCACTGCTCTCGCTGTCTGTCCTCTTCTAAGCTTGCACATTGAGTGGTATTACCTGCAAGAATGTGACCATTTCATTTGTGCAGGCCTCCAAGTTCACTCTTCTGACTGTGACATACTCTCCTGTGGGTTTATACCTGGCCAGGTTCACAACCATCAAGTCTTCAAAGCCTCTGCCTGAAAGAGAAAGCATGAAAGCTTCAGTAATGCTTGTGGAAGCACTAAGAGAACTCCTCCAGCCCATGACCCTTCAATAGTATTTACCCTCACTCACTGAAACCACTTTTGACCTTGTAAAAAAGAGTAATTGTTCCATCAGATACTACCTTTCTTGGTATGTATCTGAGAGGAATCCTCCTGACCAGTAGAATTATCCTGTCCTTCAAATTCAGGACTGAGGCAAGAACACTGATTAGAAGCAACAAGGACCGGTTTCAGGCTGCTTCTGCTGACTGTACTGCACCCCCAGCATCACTGACCAACTACATGTCCCTCTCAGGTGGAAACCTTTAGGACTGGCATCTCATTTTTTATTCAAATTACTTTAAAATCAAAGAGGCATACATCCAATATCAAAAATAAGCAATCAATCAAGAAAAGGATAAATCTGCAGAAATTATTTTCTTTACAAAGCAGACTGATCCCCAGCCCTCAAGAATTACCTATGATAGTGAGCAACTCATAGCAGCTGCTGTCTGGCAGGAAGCTGCTCATGGTGTCCCTTTTAGGGGAAGAAGCTATCGACTCGGAGCTCGCCTCATTTGTCTGAGGAAAAAAAATGAAGTCAAGTCAAAGGAAATAAAGGTCACCTGCTGGAAAAATCATCTGCCCCTCATTATCATACACTTCAAAATAATAGGAATACAGAAGAGGATTTAGTTGCTGTCAAAATAATTTTAAATAGTCATTTATCAATTGAAACTCAGGAGATGCCTCATTTCAGAAGATCCAGACATCTGTGTTACAAAACATGGAACAAGTAGATTTTTAATCACTGTGAGAATTTACTCAGGAATATTTTGATAAGGCCAATTATTATTCCCCAGGACAGCCTAAACTCTGCTTTACAGTAACTGCCTTTCTCTTATAGTTACAAACTCCTGCGCCACCAGCCTGTTGCCTGAGCCAGAGCCAAAGGGAAGCTGTTCTTAGCTCTCCTCTGCACCATAGCAGTTGGTGTTCCTGGTGGATGCTGCAGCTCCTGCTTCTCAGCTCACCTGGGATAAGCCCAGCATAGCTGAAGCTGCTTAGCTGAATGGTACAAGTGATGAAGAAAATCAGACACATGAAAAGAGAAGCTCCAAATGAAAGCAAAAACTGCAAAGCATTAAGTGCTTCTGAATGAAAAAAAGGGGAAAAAAGCACCCCCAGGCCACACAGGGAAGCAGCATTCCCAAATCTGTCAGCTTTCCCTCAATCCACCTGCCATAAAGCTTCCTGCCTCCTTTACATACTCTGAGATCTTCCCCTACAGGATTTTGCAGATGATAAACTTCAATATTCTTGCAAGTTCTTTTATACTTTCCAACTCCTTCAAATGTCCAAAGTCACAAGGAGACCCACCTACAGGGGATTAA